ATGTATTATAGTATAGTTATAATAAAGAAATCATTCAGCCTTCTGAACTGGAGTCAGACATCATCATTTCTCCCCACTGGGTTCACCTGCATTTACAATAGGCATGAGCTGCCACCCTGCTCTACTCCAGCCTGGCACAAAGTGGGTCAGGGCTGCGTGGGCCCATGGCACGTCACAGGACACGACCCACCCGTGTTCCCCAGCGTGCCTCTGAACAGCGGGTGCCTATCCCAGGCCCAGGTAGGGTAGCAAGGGATGCTCCCTCCCTCCTCCTCTTGCCAACTGCAGCCCATCTTGTGTTGAGGAAAACCCAGGGTGCTCCATGCCAGCACTACGCCAGGGGATATTTTAGGAGATCTGGATTTTCATGGAACCTGCTGCCCTGTAGATAAATCATACCAGGAGAAAATCACATTGCTCCTAGAAATTTGTAACCTCAGTTGGCATGGAGTTTCTCCTTGGCTCCTCTCAACAGCTGACTACACTCACAAATTAACATCCAACTTGTTTAATTATGTTTTCCTTTCCTATCCAGACCTAGGCTGGGATCTGTGTGTCCCTTTAATAGGTGTGTCACGGCAGTATGCCAGAGTTTCCCATTTTCTAGTTAAAAAAAACCCCAAAAAGACTAAAAAAACCCAAAAAACCAACAAGCCCAAACCCAGATAACAAAACATCTAAAGCCCAGCAGACTTCTTCCTGCTAGCAAGGAAACCTCCTCTCAGGACACTGCAAAGATTTAATTTACTACCAATTGCCCTCTGGTTATTTTATGTTTATGGGGTGGGGGCTGAAGAAAGGAAGAAAGCAGAGAGGGTGTAATTAGCTTTGCTTGTAAAATGTTCATCCCAGTTGTAACAGCAACTGGAGCCTATCGGGGGCTTAATAGATTTCAGGGTTTTGTTGAAGCTGAAGGGTCTGTATGGGGCGGAGGGAAAGGCTGGGAATAAAAAAAGGGCAAAAAAATATTAAAAAAAAAAAATCAATAAGTGGATCCTACATCTTGCCACAGCCCCATATGGAAGTAATCAAGCACAAGGGTGGCAGCTGGGGCCAATAACAGTCACCTGCAGTTGAGGGACGTGGGGGTTTGGGATGGGTTTTTAATGCTAATTTCCTGGAGGAACAATGCGGAGCGGCTGAATGGGGAGCAGCGGAACAATGGCTGCACCTGGCGCTGCGGGCAGCGCAGGAGCCACATCTGCTCGCACAATGCCCGCTCCCCCTGCAACAGGTCCGAGCTGCAGCCCTCCTCATCCTCCCCTCCGCCACGGCTGGCGACACTTTTGGGGCTTTGAGGGGTTTTTTTGGTGAAAGGGATGGGATGCTTACGCGGCATCCCGCCGGCAGGTTGCGGCATCCCACTGCCACGGACCAGGCGAGGAAGGAAAATTGACTCTTGGCTTTGAAGATCTGCAAGTGTTGGTTCTTCTAAATGGTTCTTCTGGCCACCTCTGACTGTCCTCCTTCGATACCCCAAGTCGTGCTGCAGCCACCAGAGATGGGAATCCCGTGGCCGGCAGCGCGCTGAGGAAATTCAATACGCATTATTCTAAAACCTTAAGCTTAGCTTATAAAAATGCCACTGCCCAGCCCAATAAAAGGCATGATAGTTACACTTTAAAATGCTTTGAAACCTCTGAAATTGCTATTGTCCTGTCGGACATAAGCTGCTGACACACAAAGCCGTGCTAAGGTCAAGGTCCTGCCTCAGAAAATTGCTTGCAGACCCAGGAACTGAACCCAAGCCTCTGTGTGCTGCACTTTAACTGTGGGATCACCACTCACCATTTCTTCCTGGCTGCTGCTCCCGCTCTAAACAAAGGTTTTTCCAGCCGTTCTCTGAACGCTGCATGAATTAAGGCAGTCTCCCTCATAAAAATAAAAGTTGAACAGACTCCCAGAGACCTGCAGTGACGCTGCCCCCAGGGACTGCTCTGGAGTGTCTGTCGAAACACATTTCATACCTAGCTCCTAACAAGCAATCAGATATGGAAATGGTCACTAGATAAAGGCAAGCTTACAATCCAGCCCAGAACAAGTATGGATAAGCCATCTCTTATAATGGGAAAAAACCCAACAGGCAACAGATTATGACTGTCTCCTGCTCAGATTTAAAAACTAGCCAGCATTGACTTAGATCTGCTCCATGTGCCCAAGTCCTCAAATGACTGTGTTCAGCTCTCCAGCTATACTATAAACATCACACATACACGTCAAACAAATCTTGTTTTTTGTCCAAACCTTAAAAAAACAGATCTGGAGAAAACAAGAGGCCACCTGGCTTCCCCATCCCATAACTGTGGGAGAGCGCTGCCTCCTGCTAAATGCTGCTGGTGGTTACTGCATTTATGGGTCAATTTGGGGATTGGAGGACTGACTGACTTGAAAACTCAGCTCCTGCAGTCAAACCACACAAACCTGTCCAACCAGTGATAGCCTCTCCAAGCCAAACTCCACCGTGGGTGACGCAAGACTGTGAAGAAAGCTCTGTGAAGCAGCAGTAAAATCATTTGGGACTCACACTCAGTGGACAGGGGAGGCAGCATTAAGTGAAACCCGACTCTCTTGGGGACCCTGGTCCTGTAAGACTCAGAAGAATAAACCAGAAAAAATCCCAAACCCAACAGCCTGACCCAGGGTTCATGTGAGCAAAGCTCCCTTTGCTTTGGCAGGTTTAAACAAGCCTCTGCAACACCAGCAGATGCAAGTTGCAAAAATAGCAGCATCTTGGAAGTAAGCAGGGGCTGTGGCTCCAGTCCCTGGGCAGAGTAGAGCCTGGCTTGGCATTTTCACTATTAAATGGAGTTTCTGCTCTTTTCCTCGGGGCATTCCCTGTGTAATAGAGTTCTCAGATTAACGATTTATTCTTCTTGCCTTTAGCAATTCTGCTCCTTCCTCAAACCCTTCAAAATCCTTCTCTTGGCTTAGCTGCACTTTCCTGTTGGCAGTCTTTGCTCAAACTGCCTTTGCTTTACTCCTTTTTCCTTGTTTCCCACACTGGAGTCTCTGAGTTTTGCATTATTTGTGTGTTTCTCTAACTGCTGGATGTGCTGGGCTACCTGGCTGTGAAGGGCACACAGTCATTTAGGTGAAGCCTAGGTAGTTCCAAAAAGCAGAAAAAACATCTTTTTTGTATTAATAGTAGAAAATCATGTAATCCAGCAGACAGTAGTGGGGGGGGAAAAGTGTCTTCACTTGGATGTCCTGCACCATTTCTATAACATTATTAGGTCTGGCGACAGAGTTTCAAGCCACCCTCTTCCCCAAAACACAACCACCTCTCTCATCTAAGCACTCAGCTCACCAGGCACCCTAAATCCTTTTTAAAAATAAAGGAGCCTGAGGAAAAAAGGAAAGTTTCCTACTTTGAGCAAGACTCTACCAAATGAGTTGTTTAATGGCCAAATCGTGCTGCCCTGATGCCGGCAGAACTTCCGTTTGCTTAATCAGGGCTCGACCCGCAAGGAGACCACAGGAGCAGCTGCTGTGCTGCCTTCACAAACCCGGGAAGTCTCCAGGAGAGCTGCAGCAGAGCAGCACGGCTCTTTGCTCCTCGATATCATCACACCCTCTATGGCTTTGCTGGACATTTTTGGGGTTTCACACTCCTTTGTGCTGGTGCACTTTGAGACACTGAAGTGCACACACTCCTCCTGCCTCCTCTCCAGAGACGCACAGGAGGTGTGTTTGGAGTGTATCTACAAGCAGACTTATAATATATAGTATTTTTTAAAGTCTCTACTCAAATGCTTACATGCTGCAAAAGAAGGAAAAGCTTAAGGTGGCCCATGGAGTGGCCAAACTGGCCAAGAACAGAGCTGCAGCCCAAGCACGCTGCTAGGGAGCCCAGGCAGGCTCTCCCTCAGGAAACCCTGTCATTTGGCATGTTTATAGCTAACCTGGACAAAGCAACACCAGAGGGAATTATCCTGCACCAGGCAGCCCAGCAAATATTCCTCTCTCTTTTTCCAGCCTGACAGCAAGCAATGCTCAGCCACATTTCAGCTCCCCAAACTTTGAGTGCTGATTTTGGTGCATCTCCTGTGGCTGGGCAGGATTTCTCCAGCACATAAAATGGATTAAGTATCATTCCACAGGAGCTGAGTGATGTAGGGGGCAGAAAAAGCTGGTAATATTTGGGGGAGCAGCTTAAACATGCAACAGAAGCATCTCTACAACAAGCTACACCAGAGGGTCAGAGGAGTAATTTCAACTGCTGGACCTTCCCAACAGACAGGGAGGGAGCAAAAGGGCAGGTTTAAACCAAATATGCAAGATCCAGGGATTACAATAGAAAAAGAGAATATACAGCCTGTCTATAGCCTGACAGTGAAAATATATAGGGGAGGTGTGTTCTGGTATCACAAGATTGATCTGAGAGATTTAGATGCTAGGAGCATCAGTTGCTGCTCAAGGAGTGCAAAGACAAAAAGGGAGCAGCCTCTGACACAATGCAGAGAAGCCCTGAAAACACGGGGGAAATTAAGGAAATTTGGGAGCCAATGGAAGAAATCCACCTCTGCAGTTTTCAACCCACCCCCCACCCCAGCTTCAATACCGGCATGCAGAAACCAGAGTAAACCTCGGCACAGCAGAAAACCACGTTCTGCTAAAACACACAAAACCCTTCCTGCATTGCCACTTCCCCAGAAAACGCCAAATCCCAGCTCTCTGCTTGTGGAGGGGGGGTGGAGGGGAAGGAAAAAAAAAAAATAAAAACCATTCCATAGCAACCCAGAACGAGCTGTACCGCAGCTCTCCTCAGAGAGAGTTTAGTGTTTTTTCAGCTGCAGAAGCCTCGCATGCAGCCGGCTGGGCTATTGAAGTTTTCCCCAGCACTGCAGAGGACCGAGGCAGGGCTGGCAAAGCGCTGCGGCCGCCGCTCCAGCCTCTCCCGTACCTGCTCCGAGCTGGAGGCGCTCCCCAAACCTTGCAGGGCTGAGCATCCCCCCGAGCATCCCAAGCGCTGCTTCAAAATAATCCCATTCCTTGCTTACCCTAGCCAGCGAGGTTGCAAGGATCCAGCTGCTGTGCAATACACCTCGTTTCTTTCAAATAGAAAGAAAAGCGCTCTTCCTCCTCCTCCTCCTCCGCCCGTGATCTTCGAGCGCAGCCGGAGCCCAGCCTGCCTTCTCCTTTCATTAGCTGGACATGTGTCAGGTCCCGCACATCTGCGATTTCTCACTGCCTGGAGCCGCCTGTCCGATTCCAGGGAAACACAGATGGATCCCAGATGGGAAGGTCCTGCCAAACAGACCAGCTCTCCACCTTGCCAGAATAGCCAGCTTAGAGGCACACACCCTGGGCTCCCTGCCTGCTCCTGCCTGCGCCGCGCTGCTGCCAGGCTGCTCGCCAGCTGATGTCACCAGGCACACACCTACCGCCGCCCGCCTGACATTAACTTGTTAAATACGCCCGATTTGTTTATGGCCGCACAGCAGCGAGCCAGCGGCAGGAGCAGCCCCGCCGCCCCCTCCCCAAATCAGCCTTGGGCACAGCAGCTCTGCCTCAGCCCTGCCTTGGAAACCGGGATGAGCTGTTGGGGAAACCGGCGGATTCATTTTCCCAAGGTTTCCCCATGCACGTAAATCTTCGCTGCAAACTCCACCGCCTCCCCCACCAGCAAACCCAGCGCCAGAGTTTGCGGCGCTGGAGAACTGGCATGTGTTAGCAATTAGAAGCAACAACAAGATAACAAGATACTGATGTTGCAAGGGTACCAAACGCGGACTGGAAAATTCAAAGGAAGAGCAATTAAATGTGTAACATACTACCCGGCTCGAAGAGGAAGTGTTAAAGGAAAATGTAAATCCGAAATGTTTTATTCCGGGAGTAAACTCCACCAGAGATGTCAGAGCAGCGAGGGAGGCCCGGAGCAGGAACCCACTGGGCAGGACCACATTTGACCATTTCCCACCTCCATTAATGCACAGACGTGGCCGCTGTGCCACCTACAGACCTCCTGGTAATCCTCAGGCTGCTCCCCGAGGTGCGGCTCAACAACAGATATTAAGGAGGCCCCTGACTAATCCCATCAGCCCGGCAGCATTCACCGCCAGCCGGGCGCTGGGCAAACACGGATTTACACAACAGCATTCCCGGCCACGTCCCTGCCCGCCGGGGGACTGCCCCGAGCAGGGGCCATCACCCTCCAGACTGCCCAAACCACCCTGCCCCACACATCCCACTGCCAGCTCCCCTCAAACAGCCCCAGCAGGAGAAGCAGTGTTTGTATTTTGCCTGCAGACCATGCACAGGCACATTTTAAGATCTCAGAAGGGATCCACTGCTCCAGTCCTTACAGCTTAACAGGTTCAGGTCTTGATCCTTTCCAAATCTCTGCAGTCAACAACACCTCTCTCTCCAGCTACTTTTTTTGAGAACCAGGGACCTCAATGCTTCCCCAGCCAACAAACTCAGAGCCTGACACTGCTCGAGCTGGGGGATGCTGCTTTTTCACAAGTCCAAAAATCATACACGCCAAATTCCCCACAGCTGGTGTAGGCATGACAGGACAGTTGTTCACAGGCAGCAAAATGCTCCTTTTTATGAAATTCCCAGTGCCCTGGCAGGCTACTGCTAAGTGCTATGTCCATAAACCTTCTGGAGGTACTGCCCCCTGGCATCTCACCTAACCCTTCACCCTGGCTTCTCTGCTGCTTATTCCTAATTAGTTTAAGGTACCTCTGCTTCCCTTTGGGAGGGGAAAAAGGCTGTAAAGGGAGAAAGCTGCTTTAAAGGAAGCATTAAATAGCATTCTGCAAGCAGGCACGGCATGAGCCCATGAACACAGGGGCCACGATCTCCTCCTGCCGAGGACAGGCCTCCCAGTGTAGGCAGGATGCTGCATGATAATGGAGGGACAATTTGGGCAGGAGATTTTTGGGCTGTTGTAGGAGCACATGGAGCTGCTACTTCCGTGGCTGGGCAAACACATCACTTTGAGAAAAGCAGCCTGGCTGCAGGCAGAGGGGACACAGGTTTACAGCAGCTCTCCCTCCTCCAAACCTCACCCAAGAGCAGCAATTCCACATGCTCCAGTTAAGAAAAAAGAAGTGAATCACATTCAAGTATCAGCACACAAACACCTGGAGCATCCCAAGAGATGATGCTCAGGCAGCAAAACAGGTTGGGAACAGGCAGATCCAACAGTGCCTCCCAGCACCCCAGTCCCCACTGGAGGGGCTGCTGGAAAGGCACATCAATAAAACATTCAGGTTCAGAAAGTTCAGCTCGCTGGGGCTTCTGACACTTCTGATGGAGGTTGCGCAAAATAGCGAAGCTCTCAATATTTCATAAGCTGAGATGGAAAAACCATCTCTAAATTACACAATGAAGGGAGGCACAACCCAAGCATCTCCACCAAGAGCAGAACTAATAAAGTTATTTTCCTATGGACTTGCATCTCATGGTTGGCTCCCTGGCACCTCAGGCTGTGAGGTCCCCAACAGGAGCCATCCCCGGGCGGGTTGTGGTGACAGCAGTGGCTCTCATGTGGATTCTCTGACGTTTTCTAAGAAGCAAGCTCATGTTGCAGCTCTGTCCCCAGTGGAGATGGCACCAGCAGATGGATGCAGCCCTCTGCTCCCAGCGTTAGGAATCCAGCATCAGACACTGCTGCTCCCTGTGCTGCCCTGTCCCACCATGCCCAGACCAGCCTGAACTGGGCAGGGAACTCAAAAGCTGCCTTTGGTCTGAGTGTGACAGAGCAGGGCATGCTCTGTGATGAACAGCAGACACCCAAGAGATGCCACCTGACCATCTGTCAGGTCTTTGGGCCAAAGCCATAAGAGATGTACCCTCAGAAGGCACAGGGGACATCCTGGGGCAGGGATAACGGGACTTTATGTGAAATAGGTAACCAGCACGAGGTGTTCCCTTGCCTGCTTTTTTAAACCATATTTCAGTTTAAGGACCTGAACAGCTTGTAACCCTTCACACAAACCAAAGCTGTCCACAACTGTGACAACTGGGTTCTAACTACCCTTTGTCAACCCACCGCCAAATAAATCTCTTCAATGGTTTTACAACCTAAAGCACTTTGAAATGTCAAGAACTCAGGTCACTGCAAGAATTGTAAGTACAGTTACAACGACTTTATAAACCTTTACGAAAAGGCACACAACTCTTCATCACTGTGTCCACAGCCCAGTGTCTAAAACTCCACCATCCTCAGGGAAGACATCCCCACTTCTTGTTAGGGAGGCAGGAATAAGGCAGACCTCATGGCTCACCATTAGAGTAAGAGAGACAGATGCGTGCTTTTGGGTTCTCCAGGAATAAAAACTATGGACACCAGGGAGCTCTGAGTGAAAATCATTGCCCAACCTTCTTTGAAAGGCTCCTGGATTGTATCTTACATATGATCCATGTGGCCTCAGCTCACCCAAACCATGACCTATCCCTAAGCTCACCACTGGCAGAGGCAGGTCCGTGAAGTATGGAATCACAAAATCCCAGAGTGGTTTGGGTTGGAAAGGACTCTACAGCTCATCCCATCCCACCCCCTGTCATGGGCAGGGACACCTTCCACTGTCCCAGGGTGCTCCAAGCCCCGTCCAGCCTGGCCTTGGGCACTGCCAGGGATGCAGGGACAGCCACAGCTGCTCTGGACACCTGTGCCGGGGCTCCAGGTTGCTCCAACCCGGCACGAGGAGTCCATCCACACGTCATCTACTGACCCCTCTCACAGTTCCCAAGAGGCTTGTCTGCTCCTAAATATGCACTAAAGCAGATTTGGTAGCCCAGACATCACCAGCACAGCAGAAGAAAGCAGAAGTGCAGGCAGCATGGGGAGAACTGCTCTCCCCTGCTCACCATGCTAATCTGCTTCTGCTTTCTTCTCCTGGGAATGTTCCATGGAAAGAACGGTGCAAGCAAAGTTTGAACACTGGGAGCTATTGATACCTGCTGCTCAGTGTGGTTTCTGAGGAAAGCAAGGAAATCTGAAGAATTTTTCCAGTTTGCAGTGGAATTTTTATGCCTATCACAGCCCATTGCCACAGCGAGCACAAGAGACCCAAACTGCTTCTGATTTCTCTGCTATTCCACAGATACTTCACGATGTGCCTCGGATTTATTTTTTGCCTGCTTTGTTCTTACCTCAGAAAGAAGCTTCACTTAAATTCAAGGCAACCCTGGAAAGCCTTTGCCTTTTTAAGCTGACCACTTTCCATTGCACAGAAAAATAAATCCAAATGCACTAAGGCAGCCAAAGCCATTTATCAGGCTAAGTAGAAACTGTAAATTCATGCTAACTGGAATCTGATGGAAACCAATTGGGATCCTCCTCCTCCTCCAGGCTCAGGTCTGGCAGGAAAGTCAAACATTTTATTGCCTTCTTTATGCCTTACAAGACAGTGGAGCCAGGAAGGGACTGCTCCCTTTGAAGCAATGCTGGTGGGGTTACAAGGGACACTCAGTGACTTGAGATCAAGCTCAACTTCCAAAACAGAGATGAGACCTCTCCATTCCTGGCAAATTTATCACATTTAACAAACAGCCTCTTTTCAATACATCCATTATTTGAAATAGCACATGGCAGATTATGTTAACAAGCTTAATTTGTCACAGAATTGTGGAGAAAGGTTTGGATTGGAAGGGATCTTAAAGCTCATCTTGTCCCACTCCCTGCCAGGGACACCTTCCACTGTCCCAGGTTGCTCCAAGCCCCAATGTCCAACCTGGCCTTGGGCACTTCCAGGAATCCAGGGACCTCCATCCCCACAGGGAACAATTCCATCCTAATATCCTGTCTAACCCTGCCAAGGCACACCCTCTTAGCACTTCCAGACCCCTGTCCAAAGTCCCTCTCCAGCTCTCTTGGAGCCCTGCTAGGCACTGGAAAGGGCTCTAGGGTCTCCCTGGAACTTTCTCTTCTCCAGGCTGCACATCCCCAGCCTCTCCCCAGAGCAGAAGAGTTCCAGCCCTCAACAAAATCCAAATCCAATCACATTGCCCCTTCAGGAGTGAACATGAGCAGTGTTTGGCTTTTGTGCCATTTTGATCCTCCTCAGAGAGGGGGAAAACCACATTAAAAGTTGGCCTTAACTGAGCTGGAAGAATTTTACACCCAGAATGTCCACAATGAGACACTGCCAAAAAAATCCCTAAAACAATTGGGGGGAGCAAAGATGCAACAAGGAATTAAACTCAATCTGAGGAAGTTATTGAAACTACTCCTGGCCACCCATTAAGGGAGGGGACACACATCACCTAAGCACATGATGCTTTATTCTTGTGGCCACATATGTAAAGAAAAAACATGTCCTATGCAAAAATATCCCCTCCAAAACAACAAACCAATTCCTAAATCTAACACCCTTGCTCTGATTAGAAATCCAAGCTTCTGTAGCTGTCACGGGTATTTAAACCAAACACAGAAATATGGAAAAAATGAGTAATCCTATTTGGAGAGAGAGTAAAATCCAGCCTGCAGAGGATTAATTCTAGTCCAACAGCCCTGCAGCTTGACAGTATTTTCCAGATCAATAGCAGCAGTGCCATTTGATTACAGAGATTTGTTCAAATACATACATCCACTCCCCTCCAATTGTCATTTCAG